AAACCATTCTTGAGATTAGACTTTTGCTGAGAATGTCAGGTGGGACCTCAGCACTAGATTTGATTTAGGAAAAAGAAAGTGACACTCACTCACCTCCATTGCACAGAGCAATTTGTGAACTTATCAGAGATCCACGATCCGTCATTTCTCAGCACAGGCAGGCTCAAACCCCAGGCACGAGGCCATTATACCTGTTCAGGACTGGTCCCTAAAGGTCCTGGAGCCTCAGAGTTCAATGAGGTGCACTTAATACATTGGCAGGCAATGAGAGGCAAGCTCACTAACAGCTGAACAGGAAGCAGGTTTGAGGAACCAGACGCCTGGGCAGTTCCTGTGTGGGAGAGGGGACTGAAACAATGGAACAACAAAATCGGAGCCTCCTGTTGCTTGGGGGCTTCAGGCTTCCAGATACAGCAAGTGGCTCCCCCGGACCCCTCCTGGGCATAGCCTAAGCCTTTCTAAGGATGTGCCCCAAGAGGGTGGCTGCACTCCTACACATCATCAAAGCAGGCTTTCTAGATATTAAGTCAACAGCTCCTCAAAAGAAACTGGCAAGACAATACCAGCATTAGCATATTAGAATATTATTATGTATATGTAATACTTATTAAGTGCCAGGTGCTGAATACCTTTTACTTTATGCAGCAACATTGTTGGATAGGAGCTATATTATTATCCCATTTCACAGGTGAGGTAACCGAGACCTAGACATTTAATAACTTGTGCAACATCAAACCACCTGTCAGTAAAGGGCTGAGGTGACTTTCTGAGCCAAGGCACAGCAGACTCTAAAATCTGAGCATTTAGCCCCCATCCCCAAAGGCCACTCCAATTTTTGGCCCAGGTGTGGGTCACCTTCAGCCTCCAGCTGGCAGGGCTCAATCCCTGCGCCAAAGGTTTTTGTTTCTAGGAGAAGTGCAGATAAACTGGCCACAGGGGCTAAGGGGAAGCAGAGAGGAGAGTGGGAAAGGGAGCCCCAGATTCATTCCAGGAGTGGCTCCCTCCTGGGGCTGCAGGAGAGGGCAGAGCAGATGGAGGGTCAGCCTACCAGAGGATGTCACTTGGCGCTCACATGTTTATCATGCGAGGTCCCCTCCCTGTGCCTTGCCGGAGGAGGGGCATTGGCTTAGAACAGGGTCTAGAGGGGCTCCGAGCAGGAACTCCACTGGAGGAACCCATTGGGTCACATGCTTAATCTGAGCCTTAGTTTCCTCTTTGAAGTCGGGAAGATAACAGGATCTATCTCATGGGATTTGGGGGAGGTTTAAAAGTAATAATGTGGTAAATAAAGCATTTACACAGCGCTTGATACATATCAAGCGCTCTGTTCATGGACTCTAAAATAATGTACTAGCAACCATAAAATAAAAATAACACAAAACAGGTACTAATGTTTCCTGATCTTTCCCAGTAGATAAATCCTTGTGAAAGAAAACTCAGCCTGGTAGGTGATTACATAAGTTTGGAATGAGGAGATTGCCAAATCTCCAATATGATCTATTGCACATTCAGCGGGAATCTGAGGCCACATTCTAAATAAGATTGAGTATAATGGGAACTACACTTACCTTGCAGGACCTACCTTTTTTTTCCCATTCTACATACATACATAAGCTGTATGTACATTTAAAACTACATGGGCGGCCTTCATGGGTCATTGTGTTCTCAGGGTCCCAGGACTCCTGCTCCAGGTGTGTCAATGTTCCAGCAATATTTTTAATTATGGACGTAAGTCTCAGGCCCAGGTGCATTAAAGCAATTCCTCAGATCATGCACAATTCATCATACTCACACCTAGTTCCATTAGCAGACATTCTTCTCTGGTGTTTGCATCTCAATTCATTTTTAAAGAAATTTCCAGCTCAATTCCAGTGGCTTTTGCATCTCATTACACTCTCGATAATTAGCAATATCTCATTACTCCCTGGCTCCGTTGGAATAGGATTAGTTGTTTTCACGCATAAACCTGTGCTGTGCCTTAGACGGCACCTCTTCAAAATTCCAGGCAGGCCTTCTGCCCCAGCCAAACCAGGACAACTACTTGCAGCTGCGTACACTTCATTACACGTTCCATTTCAGGAAAAGACTCGGCTGTTTTTCACATCTGGTAACACGCTTATTAATTATGTACTTCTCAGAACAACTGTGCCTAATTAGGACAGAGTCGAAACCTTTGCTGAGCCCAACCATTCTTTGTTTTCTTGTTCTTGGTAGCTCATTACCCTCCCCCCAAATTATGTCCAATTTGTTTTACATCCCTGACACATTAAGACAATTGCTCTCAGTGTGTGTGTATTTCAGCACACACTCTGCTTTCCTCACAAAATCTTGTTGATCAGGACACTCCTTATTTTCATATCCAGCTGGTCTTCTCATCATATTTGCCCCAGTGGAGTAGAGTCTAGCTTGGGCTTGTGAAATCCTGATCACTCTGTTCCTTCCTGTGAAATTTCTGTGCTCTGGTCCTCGGGATGTAGCCACAGCTCTGCATCAGAGCAAGAATCCTGAACACAATTGGCCTCCACACATTCACAGAGCCTACCCTTTTCCATCAACAAATGGTAAAGAAAGGGCAAACTTCCCGGCTCTGTGCCAAGCAAAAGAAGGCTTGAGTTTCTGGAAGGGCAAAGCTCGGAAGAGAGCAGCAAAGGGTCAGGCTGAAGAGTTCAGTCCTCAGTCCTGAATGAGATGTTTTCCTAAATGAAAGGGTAGTTTTGGCAGATGGAGTGGGTGATAAGGACTCTGGGGAGGACAACATCAGAGTG